AAGTACGGCTAGACTTTTGGCTAGCAGTACTTAAAGTACGGCTAGACGGCTAGGCTAGCCATACTTAAGGACGGCTGGTCAATCAGGCTAGACGTACTTATTATTGATAGCTGAATTGTAAATGAAATTTTTAGTTTGCAATGCCTGAAGTATTTGTATTTCAGACCAAACCAAAAGGTGCCTTACTGACCTGCATGTATTTTAAACCTGAGTAATAGATCTAGATCTACATCTAATGAGACCTGTGTACTCCACAGGTTTGAGTCGATAGGGCCAAACCTAGATCTAAGTCTAGTACGGCTAGACTGGCAGTCTAGCCGTACTTTACTGCTAGACTCTCAGGCTAGCCGTACTTAAATACGGCTAGCCACTTCGATAATGTATACTAAAAATTAAAAATATTCCAGAATTAGAATGGGTACATCTTCACTACGCATCGACTGTGTAGATCTATACACAGTCCCAGGGTTTTTAGTTCCTTTGCAATTCTATTTAAAAAATCTAGATTTTTAGATCTAGATCTAGAGATACACACTCACTACTAGATCTAATCTAAATCTAGAGTTACCCTAATTATCTACTAATTTATCCGGTCTTAAATTATGAATAGGCCTATCAATTTGAGTACTGACACATTTCCTGACAGAGTCTACCAATGGTAATAAATCTTCAGCTAGATTTAGATCTAGACTTTTGATATATATATCTAGAGTCTAGATTTAGAATTGTTGAGTTGAATCACACACACATAGACTATATGAAGTGAAAGTGGCTATTCTCACCCGCCCGGAAGTTCTCTCAAGATCAACTCCTCCCCTCTTCTCTCTCTCTCTGTCTCTTTCTGAATACTGTCTATCGGTGTGGACGATCAAATTGACCAAAACAAAGTTAAAAAATGATGTTAAAACCCAAAAGTAAATTAATTTGGTTGTCTACAAAGATGCTACGGCTATTTAACTTTTCGAATCGAGCCGAACTACGCGGGTCGCCATTTTGTTTTGCCCGGAAATTCTCGCGCTACTCCTCTCTCTCTCTCCACTGCCCACAGACAAAATTGTACGCTTTTAGTAGGCTACAGTTGTAATGGAACGTTTGTTCACGGCACAGAATTCTACAATTTTTCTGTTATCACAGTGTAGAATTCTGTGGTTTAGGGTGAATGCAAAATTTGGTGAACGCGCACCGGGTGAGAATAGCCACAAAAGACTCGCCTGCACCATAGAGGTGGCCATATATGAAGTAAGTTACTCCTTGTTATTGTTGACAACAATCAACAACAAACTTGTAGAAAGACAAATGGCAGCTGTATTTTACTCATCATGCATGTAATAAACCTTAGTATATCAAAATTGACAGACAATGTGCATACCCAGTGGTCTTACTTGAAAGACTTCTTAAGCCAGAAGCAGTTGCTGCTCTGTGACTGACAGTTCTGTGAACGATGAATGAGAACAAGCTCCGACTTGATTGAAAAATAAATGAAGAGGAACTAAACTCTTAAACGACTTATCTGCAGTTGGATTTGGGAGAATTGAACCTCTGATATCAAAAACAAGTTTTCTTGATGTGAATGTAAACAACTTTCATTACATTCTTATATTTTCTTAAAGTAGCTGACTCGAACGAATAATAACTCAGGATTTTTCGAATGCACCGCTTGCAGTCGCCATGTTGTTTATATTCTCAACCACCAAAATAGAAATCTGTGCAATATCGGAATAACGCCAAAAGAGAATAACTTAAAAAGATAGATTAAAATAATAAGGAAGTAAAGTAAATAATAATATATTGGCCTAGATCTAGGCCTATAAAAGATAATTAAATACCTGTATGTACTCAGAGTGCACCATTATGGGATAAGTGTTTTATCATTTAGGAAAGAGAGAGAGAATAATTATCATCCCAAATGTATATATAATTGACAGGTATCTTAATTAAAGTCTACTTCCTTGTGTACGTACAGGCCTATTATAAAAGGGCGGTTTCTCTTTTTATGATAGTGTAATGGTTTGGTCAGTGTAGCCTACATAATAATATACTTCCCAAACTCCTAGACATACTCTCGAACTCTTCATTAGGGCGCTTATGGAACTACAAACTCTTCAACAGCATC